TGTTTAAAAAGAGTAGGTTTGCGCTGTGGGGGTTTAAGGCATTAATGGTGTGTTTAGTTCATATGGCTGCTGAAATAAGAGTATTATGTGGTGTTATTGTTGAGAAACAGGAATTAAGGAGCAGGAGGCAACAGCTCTTGGGGGGGAGGGAGGATGCTGAGCAGGGTCTGGTAAGAGTGCGGGTACAATTACAGCGTGGAAGCAAGGTCACTTCGATGTTGGCATGTATGCTCCCCTTTCAAACAGTCAACTTTTGATATACCATGAGATTAAAAAAATTTTGATATACCATGAGATTAAAAAAATTGGGACTGTGGGCAAAAGCATGACACTTTGTTGTTCTTTGCTTTATACTTGTCTATCTTCTGTTTTTTAAAATTATCATCTTTTAAGGGGAGGTGTGACTCTTAAGAGATTTGCCATTGCTAAATGTCACATAAAGCATACAGTGAGATTTTACTGGTGAGTGAAAGTATAGTGTGAGATTTTATTTAACATAGGATGCAGAAATTGACAGTTGTTAAGACCTTTTTAACCTAAGAGGATTTTGATAGGTAGAAGAAAAAAGTGATATATATATATATGTAGGGAAGGCAGAGAGAGACGGAAGGAGTACATGTACAAGAAACAGAATGCTGAAATTGTGGGTTATCTTTTTCCCTCCTCCCACCACCTTTTCCCTAAGACATGTTTAGCACTGTTTCGTATGTGTGAAGGCTTCATGTGGGTCGGGAGCACTGGATGTCCCTGTGCATGTGTTCTCTGTATTTACATATGAGGGATTACCCTTTCAGAGATCACTAAGATGGCTTTTAGTAAATCATCCATCTTTATAGTACTTTGCCCTTTCTGTCTCTGCGCACACGTGTAGCAGAAATATGCTGCTTTCCTTGTGAAGGAGCACAATGGTGTCTTTTTACCTGCTGTCAGTGTTGCAGAGATATTCATGTCCCCCAAACACAAGGCTCCATGTCTCAACATCCCCAGAATAAATATGTTAAGGTATGGTCATCAGCAGTGGCTTGAAGTAACTGAATCCAATTACCTGCATAATACCTGAAAAGAAGAATTAGAATGCGTGCAATTCCTCTTAAGGAAAGTAAATTATTGCCAAATAACTGCTTATAGACTAACCTTATATAGAAACCAGAGAAGTCCGGTTTCTTCTTAACCAACAACAGGTGTTTTGGGTGTCTTTAAAAAAGAAACAAGTGAGAATACCTGTTCACATGCTGGGAACTATAGGTAGCTTTCAAAAACCTTCATATGAGACAAAGCACAAACATAATTATCCCAGACCTTTTTTTTCAGTTGACAACTATTTGCACGGCCTATTTAGAATGGAAGAAATTAATTAAGAAATCTGCTTAAACTGGAAAAAGTGCACACACAAGGCTTACATGAGTCACATTGATGAGATATGCTGGCAATGTTTCATTGAGGATTTATTAAGACTTGGTGATCTACATATTAAATGAAACTAATGTAGTAAAATACCTTCACGGAATTTGAAAGGACTATTTCTTTTCTTATGCATCTGGTATGGCTGCAAGTAGTTGTAAAGTAGCAAAATTTAAGATTATTTCCAAATGAAATAAAACAAACCCCTTTGGTTTACGCTGCCTGGGATGTGACAGCTATAGGATCTTTGCTGAAAGAAATAGGCTTACGAGGAAGACGGAAAGCACCCTAAAAGAGCTGAAACTGTCTGAGATAGGAGAGTATTTCCGGGAAGATGCTCCCATATTTTAGTCTTTCCTTTCCCCACCTGTGGTGTTAGAGTTTTGTTCCTGTACAAAACCGTGCTTTCTGAGGTCAGAACCCATCATCGTGGAAGCTGTTGCCACTCTGGTAAATTCAGTCAGATCCAGCTTTGTCCCTTACTGAATGCAAACGTATAGCAAAGAGTTCGGGATTTTTCTTGAAGTTGAGAGTTGATTCTTCGTGGGTTCCCATGCACGTGGTAGAGGTGGCTGCAGATCTCTAATGCTGCCCTGCAGTGAGGAGCCAGATGTGCAGGGCTGCCAAGGCACAGGAGAAGGGCAGGAGGAGGGATGGCTCCGAGCAGGAGCTGCACAGGTTATCGCAGTGCCTGGGGGATTCGGTCTCCCTCCGCTCGCTGCTAGCTCAGTGCTCGTTCTGGTCCTGGGAACACAAACACCCCTCTCATTTCTA